CAAAGGGAGACCAGAATTGGCTTCCTCATCCAAACTGATTTTTTAATATAAAACAGCAACTGGAAATTATCAATGTCCGGCTTTGTTGTCACTTGACTCCTATTAATTTCTTTTACTTGTTCCACTTCAGTCAAGTAAGTGCCACTTAGAAAACCCAACTTCAGAGACCCCTATTGCCTGCTATAAAACCAAAATACCTGTAATATAAAAATTACACATCCCTTCTCCTATGTGGGTGTCCCAATCATAGTGTCACAGTGAGCTTATATTTCTTCTCAGCTGATTGTCTGTCATGTGCACATCCTAAGTGCAGCTATTTCAATTACCTGTTTAGATGTCACTGACATCCTGCAAGGTGCAAATCTACTCCTGGTGGCTAGGAGGGTACCTTCCCAGTCAACCCACTGATGCACCTAGTTTCTTTGATGCTATGGTGCAACACTGATTGCAATATCTATTTTGACTTCATCTAGGGTGAGGCCAATAAATACTGGGGTCCTGACTAACACTAATTTCGATTTAGATCATCTGGTATTTTTTTATAGTAACGTTCACCCAATACAAGGCCCAAGAGCCACTCAAAGTAGATGATTACTATGTAGTGTTGTATGAACATAAGAAAGAGCAAGAAGTGAAATTCATGAGGCAATGCAGGAAAAATAACACTTAACCCTAGACTTGAAGAGGTCAATCTTGTAGTGACTGGGAAAACATCCTTGGGAAGAAGCTGGTGGAATGGAACTCATTTTTTTCAATTCACCTCAAACAAGGTGATAATGCCACTAGACAAACTCAAATCAAGATTCTTTGCGCCATTGTAGAGTTGGTTTTAATGTATGGTGCCACTGCTTGAACCTTAACTAAAACCCTTGATGGAACCTACACTCAGTTGCTGAGAGCTATATTTAACATCTTTTGAAGACAGCACCAAGTAAATTGCAGCTCTATGGACCCATCCCTGATATTTCTTCAATCTTAGGCTAACACAGAATACGCTTTGCAGGACATTCAAATGGAGATTCTTTGCACCATTGTAGAGTCAGTTTTAATGTATGGTGCCATTGCTTGAACTTTAACTAAAACCCTTGATGGAACCTTAACTAAAACCTTTGATGGAACCTTAGCTATAATCCTTGATGGAACCTTAACTAAAACCCTTGATGGAACCATAGCTAAAACCCTTGATGGAACCATAGCTATAACCCTTGATGGAACCAGAGCTAAAACCCTTGATGGAACCATAGCTAAAACCCTTGATGGAAACTTAGCTAAAACTCTTGATGGAACCTTAGCTAAAATCCTTGACAGAACCTACACTCGAATTCTGAGACCAATATTTAACATCTTTTGAAGACAACACCAAGTAAATCGCAGCTCCATGGACCCATCCCTGATATTTCTACAATCTTAGGCTAACACAGAATGCACTTTTCAGGACACTTCTGGTAAGCAATTCTACTGAAAAGGATATAAAAATTCACATAGCTAAAGCCCAGGCCACCTTGAATAAAACTGGAAAGTAGCCTAGTGGGTTAAAGTGTTGGTTCGTGAATTTAGTGGCTCTAAAGAATCCCTGCTTGAGGTTGTCTGGTAGATCAAATTTCCAGATTAAATACATTTTATTCTTTCCTTTCATCCTTGAATCAGTACCAAGAACTTCTCTTGACAAACATCTTTTAAGTTTTACCCAGATTCTCAAGTCAATATCCTGCAAAAAAGTTGACAGATATTGACTATGCAAATGGCCTTGCTATCACAATGCCACAGTTCTCCTACATCATCTAAAAAATGCTGCCAATGATGTCAATGCTCTAAAACTGAATTCATAGGCTTCAACCAGCAAGGCTCAATACAAACTGTTAAAAGGTGAATCAACAAAATCTTTTACATACCTAGGAAGCAAGATAAATTCTACGGAAAAGGATGTGAATATCTGCATAGGTAAGGCCTAGGCAACATTTAATAAAATGGATGTACATTATTTACATTATTCAGACTATTGTCCTCATCTTTGTCGCCATATTTATTATAACGTTTTGGCCGTTGTACACTCCGGCCTTCCTCAGGTGGTTGTGATGTCGAACTTAACTCTTTATTCTGCTCACTGGGGTAGACTGTTCTAGTTCCACGTGTCAGTTATCAGTTATCTCCTGTTAATTTCCCTCTGAAATTTCTCCACTGCCTTAACCAGGTATTGAACTCACACTCTTTGGGTCCTGTCACTCTAGTCTAAGCTTGATAAAACCTACACTCAGATGCTGAGAGATATACTTAACATCTGGAGACAATATCTGGAATTGTCTATGGAGTTGATGTGGATACAGCTTATTTCATTGGTCATCATCCTCTACAGATGTCGATGCAGGGTGCCAGCTTAAACACCAGTACGTTGATTTATATTTGGAACCTATTAAAGATCTTCCAAATATTTTGAAAATATTTTCACTTGTTTATCCATTCATGCCCCTCTCTGTTTATGTATCAGAATAAACATTTAATTTCCGTTAAGCACCCTGATGACCATTTCATAGCCAGCAGGTTTATTAAGCCCTTTTCAAACAGACCAGCCAAACATTTACAATCATACTTATTATAAAACCCAGGTTGTGTGTGTGTGTCTGTTCATTTATATATTGGATTGGATTTCCTACATTTTTCAACCGATTTCAACAAAACTTCACAGGACTACTTAAAATTACCTTGCGGTGGTTCTGACAACACCAAAAATTGGAAAAACACAATTGTTTTTGCACAAAATCAATTTGAAAACACGATTAAGAGGCATCACGAGAATGAAAGGGGGACAACTCATATTGAGTTATACTTATAAAAACTCAGGTTGTTTGTGTGTGTCTGTGTTCGTTTATATATGAGATTGGATTTCCTACATTTTTCTACCGATTTCAACAAAACTTCACTTTTTTTTGGCAGGTAGTATTTCTTATTGTCTTGCACGCTTTTTTCTTTATTTTTACATTCAGAATGCTTTAGACTCATAACGATTGAAAACAATGTTTGGGTTTGACCAATTCGTAAAACAAAAAAAAACTAATTGACATGCGTGTCTGTCAACCCTAAACAATAATCTTTGTCAATTTTATTTTTTAGTCTTTATGATGGTCGATACTTGATCTATCTCTTACTGTTACATCCCCGGTCAACGCCAGTCTCTACTGTTAGTTTACAATAAAACAAACTGATTGTAGAGGGGTATATGCCTCCTTACAATCAATCAATAAAATATGTCAAACCTTTTACATACCTAGGAAGCAAAATAAATTCTTCTACTGAATAGGATGTGAAAATTTGCATAGCTAAAACCTGGCATGCCTTGAATAAAATGGATGTAATCTGGAAATCTGATCTACCAGACAACCTCAAACGGAGATTCTTTTGAGCTAGTGTGAGAGGCGGTGTTAATATATGCTTGGACACTGCTTGGACATTAAGTGGGAAAAAACCCTTAAAGTCTAAGCTAAATCAATAGTTCTGGACCCATCCTGATATTTCTACAATCTCGGATGCTGGGAACTAATCTTAGCATCTCTTCAAGACAATATCAACTAAATCACAGTTCTATGGACTTGTCCCTGATATTTTTACAATCTGAAACCCTAGAGTCTAAGCTTGATGGAACTTACATTTGGATGCTGGGAACTAAACTTAACATCTCTTGGAGACAATATTCAATTAAATCACAGCTCTATGGACTCATCCCTGATATTTTTTACAATCTGAAACCCTAGAGTTTAAGCTTGATGGAACTTACATTTGGATGCTGGGGACTAAACTTAACATCTCTTGGAAACAATATCCAACTAAATCACAGTTCTATGGACCCATCCCTGATATTTCTACAATCTTACATGAACTCAAAATGCATTTTGTGGGTGAGCAAAACAAGAACTCACAAGTGATTTATTGTTCTGGACACCTAGCCATGGAGCAAAACGAGCTGTTCACCTAGCAACCACCTAAATTGGCCAGCTATGACACAGAATGCCACCATAACGACCTTCCAACCTTGATACAAGACTAATAGTTGGTATGATAGACTCATGAATATCCGAGCTAACTTGACTGAAATAAATTAAAAAAAAATTAATCAGACACCAATTGAAGGCAATGTCAGTTCCTTCAAAGCTTCATTTTCTTTCATTTTTTAAAATTTGAATCACCCTAATATCCAACCCATAATTATTGGGTAGAAGATTGATTGAACATTTTCTACAGTTTATCAACCCATTACAGGTTATTTAAAGTCAGAAAAATATTTTTAGTTTGTAAGAATTTTTTTTTAAAATAATAATTTAATGATACAAATCTTACTAATTAACCCATAGCTGGGGGAGGAGAGGTGGATTCAGACCCAATCAGAAATTATGTGGATATAAAGTGGGGGATCAATTCTATATTACAAGCAATATATAAACTGATCCCTCACTTTGTGCACACGGTAGTTTCTATCCATTTATATTCCATTGAATGTAAATAAATTCATGAGACATGCCTGTGTAGCTAATCAGTATTTCATTGATTCATTCATTTTCTATGGCTTATCAAACTTTTGCAGGTTATTTACAGCCAGAAATTATAATGTGGATATAAAGTGAGGGATCAATTCTATATTACAATCAATATATAAACTGACCCCTCATATTGTGGTCACGGTAGTTTCTATCCATTTCTATTCCAGTGAATGTAAATAAATCTAAGACACACCTGTGTAGCTAATCAGTATTTCATTGATTGACCGATTCATTTATTTTCTCTGGCTTATCAAAGTTTTGTAGGTTATTTAAAGCCAGAAAATATTTTTAGATTGTGAAAATTTTTTTTTTTTTTCAGATAATAATGTTTTAGAGATACAAGTCTTACCCATGGGGGGGAGGCATGATGGACTCGTACCTTTCCCAAAGGTATTTGCATGTAAATGAATATAACGAACCCAAGGAGAATTGGAACTTCACTCTCAGACTATCATTACATCACTTGCACATCACAGCACCAGGTATTCCCTAATAGTCACCCATCTAGATATTGACTAGGTTCAACATTGCTTAACTTCACTGATCATATGGGAACCAGTGTTTCAGAGTGATGTGGCCGTAAGCCATTTCTACCTGCACATACAAGTGCATAGCATCTGGTATTCCCAAGCAGTCACCCATCCAGGTACTGACCAGACTCATCATTGCTTAACTTCACTGACTGTATGGGAGCCAGTGTTTCAACTTGATGTGGTCATAAGTTGGTAGGGGACAAGTGGGATTAATGCCTTTTCCGAAGTTAGCAAAACAAACTGAATGCAACAGGATCAATGGAAGGAATTTGGATTCAGCCAGCAAATTTCATTTTCTGAGTGTCACCTTGGAAGGCCGTGTACTAAAGATGAAACCTTGTGATGATGATGATGATAATTAAACTAATCCAGGTATGTTTCATACAGATAAGTATTGCTTTTATTTTTATTTTTTTCTTTCAAACATTTTTTATCACAAGGTTTCAGCTTTTGTACTTCGTTAGAGTACCATAATTTGTTAATCACTTAACTCATTAAATGCATCATTCAATTTTTGGAATAGTAGCCATTTAATGTGCTATAGGAGTTTTCTCCTATAGCACATTAAATGGCTACTATTCCAAAAATTGAATTAATGCCACATTTTTTTATGAACATTAATACTGTATTTGAATAAAGAAGTATTGCATATTTTTATCGCACCAAATTTTTTATTTTAATTTTTATAAGTATGGAATTTTTTAATTTTTTATTAGAATCACATTTTTAATCTTTATAACTAGTATTGCATTTTTATTTTTATAATAAGTATCATATTCTTTATTTTAATTATTATAATTACTAACATATTTTTTATAAATAGTATTGAATTTTTTTTATTTTAATTTTTTATAATTACTAACATTTTTTATAAATAGCATTGATTTTTTATTTTAATTTTTATAATTACTAACATTTTTTATAAATAGTATTGAATTTTTTATTTTAATTTTTATAATTACTAACATTTTTTATAAATAGCATTGAATTTTTTATTTTAATTTTTATAATTACTATCGTAATATTTATTTTAATTTTTATAGCTACTAACCTTTTTTATAAATAGTGTCATAATATTTATTTTAATTTTTTAGTTACTAAAATTTTTTTATAAATAGTATCATATTTTTTATTTTAATTTTTATAATTACTAACATATTTTCATAAATAGAACCATATTTTTTATTTTAATTTTTATAATTACTAACATATTTTTCATAAATAGTATCATATTTTTATTCTAATTTTTATAATTAGTAACATATTTTTCATAAATAGAATCATATTTTTTATTTTAATTTTTATAATTACTAACATTTTTTCATAAATAGTATCATATTTTTATTTTAATTTTTATAATTACTAACATATATTTTTCATAAATAGTATCATATTTTTTTTTATTTTTATAATTAGTAATATATTTTTAATTTTTATAAATAGTATTTTATTTTAATTTTATAATTGGTAACATTTTCTATAAATAGTATCCTAATTTTTATTTTAATATTCCTAATTAGTATCACATTTTTTAATCTTTATAATATAGCATTTTTTTTTAATTTACTTTTATAATTAGTATCACATTTTAAAATTTTTGTAATTAGTATCACATTTTTTTTTATTTTTATTTTTATAATTAATACTGAATTCATGCTTAACATTATTGGGTTAAATAAATAAAAGAAAAAATAAATTTACTTATTTCTAGTTTTGGTCGATAGCTGCTCACCCTAAATCTAACCTTCCTTCCTCGACCTTACCAGCTGTTACAAAAATATAAGAATAAAATTCTTTTTCTCTCTTTAAGAGCAATCTACTTACTTAAGTTTTATTCTCCAAAAGCTGTTTTACAAGTTAATCATTTGGAATTCTCCAATTTTTATTATATAAGTCGGTCTTCACAAATAATATACTAATAGTAATTTACCAAACTCAATTAGATGTGTGTGTGTGTGTGTGTGTGTGTGTGTGTGTGTGTGTGTGTGTGTGTGCGTGTGTTGCATAGCCGTTTATTGGTGCATAAAGTTGGATCGGTGAGCCAAATTCATTCAAATCCCGGTAGAGTTCATTACATTCACTTTCACAGACATAGACGTGGGAAAAGTATGATTTCACATCTTCTTTCTCCCAGCTGTGTTAAATAGTAGAGCAGACTGAACTCTCTAGCCTTGATTGACAGCCAGTTTAAGAAAAGGACAACTCAGTTTCAAATCGGTTTTGTGGTTGAGTTAAAAACTTCAACTTATAAAAATATACTTGCTGTAGAAAGTACAGTAGCAACACTTGAGTAGTGAGGCTGTGGCACTATTCTCTATAGTTATATCTAGCTAGTTCAAAAATAAAAACACGTAGTTGCCAATCTAGTAGCATGTTTAAATTTATGCAGTTGAGGCACTAAGGAGGAAAGCCCATCAGAAATGTTACATTGAAAACATTTTTTTTTTTAATCATTTCACCCCAGCAAGGTGGGAATGCCACGAGTACACAGTGGTTGCAGGTAGTTTAAGTGAAAAAGAAGACTGAGTATAGGGAGGATTGAGGAAAGGACAAAAGACGAAAGGGATTCATGAAGATAGAAGATGGCAATTTAGGTTGCATTTAAATTTTGTTAATCATTTCACCTCAAGCAAGGTGGGAATGCCACTAGTACGCAGGGGTTTACAGGGAGTGAAAGTGAGAGAAAAGACTGAGTATAGGGAGGATTGAGGAAAGGACAAAAGATGAAAGGGATTCATGAAGATAGAAGATGGCAATTGAGGTTGCATTTAAATTTTGTTAATCATTTCACCCCAAGCAAGGTGGGAATGCCATTAGTACGCAGGGATTTACAGTAAGTGAAAGTGAGAGAAAAGACTGAGTATAGGGAGGATTGGGGAAAGGACAAATGATGAACGGGATTCAAAAAGACAGAAGATAGCAATTGACATTGCATTTAAATTTTTGAAGATTATTGTTGACATGGAAGCAAGATGGGAGTTCCATAGGCAAGATTTGTGAGAAAAGAAACTATTATAATGGAACATACGGTTACATCTAGCTAGTTCAAAAGTAAAACAATGAGACCTAATTGCCAAACTAGTAGTTAATTTCATGTAATCGTGGCACCAAAGGTGAAAGCTCATCAAAACAACTGCCATGAGAATTTTTTTTTTTAATCATTTCACCCCCAGCAAGGCGGGAAAGCTACGACTACACAAGGGGTTGCAGGTATTGTAAGTGAAAGAGAAAACTAAGTATAGCAGGGGATGAGGAAAGGACAAAAGATGAACGGGATTCAAGAAAACAGAAGATGGCGATTGACATTGCATTTACATTTGTAGTTATCAGGGATGATGAGGCTGTGACCCTATTCTCTACAGGGAAGTCTAAAAAGCACTCAGGATAAGGGAAAGGCTTAATATGAAAAGCAAATATAAAACTGACAATTTATTTCAGTTGTTTTTTTGTTTTTTTTTTAATCATTTCAACCTAAACAAGGCGATAATGCCACTAAGATGCAAGGGTTTATTGGGAGTGAAAAAAAAATGAGAAGACTTTAGTAAGGAGAAGGGACAATAGAAGAACAAGGGCCCAGGAAAACAGAAGATGGCAATAATGCCACTAAGACGCAATTAGTTACTGGGAGTGAAAAAGAATGAGAAGACTTTAGTGAGGAGAAAGGACAATAAAAGAACAGGTTTCAGGAAGAGAGAAAATGACCATAATGCCATTAAGATGCAAGTAGTTACTGAGAGTGAAAGAGAATGAGAAGACTTTAGTGAGGAGAAAGGACAATAAATGAACTGGTTTCAGGAAGACAGAAGATGGTAATTGGTGCTGCATTTAAATTGTTGAAGGTTGTAATTATCAGGGAAGCAAGAAATTGCAAGTGAGTTCCATTACAGATGGGAAGAAAAAAATCTTAGAGTAAAAATGAAGGCTGTATCTAGCTAGTTCAACAGTAAAGCAGTGAGACCTAATTGCCCATCTAGTAGCAGGCTTAAATTCATGTAGTTGGGACAACAGAAAGAAAAAAAGAGAGAAGCCATGTCATGGTGGTGAGAAAGTGAGTGAAGTTGAGATTTGTCTGATATCCTCATCATTGTTACTTGTATTACCTCTTAGTTGTGTAAAATAAGGCCAAAATTTAACTTAAGACCAAACAACAAAACTGGATGTTATTTTTACACCAGTATTAACTTATACAGCCCCAGTAAATTTTGGTTTAAGAAGCTATTTTTATAATTTGATAAAAACATAATAAAATCATCTTTCCTACAGTGATAATAAAACCACCTTTCCTACAGTGATAATAAAACCATCTTTCCTGCAGTGATAATAAAACCATCTTTCCTACAGTAATAATAAATATTTCATTATAGATTCTTATATTTTCTGAAGTATAAGAATATTTTATAATCTTATAAATATAGAAATTATTATTATAGTTCACAAATAAAATTGTAAAAAATTTATCGTTATTCTAAAATCCTTTTTATAATCTTGTATATAAAAAATCTTCAGTATGGCAGTGAATGCCAGACTATCTCCATAAAGATGAAGAGACTTAAAACAGCAGAAATGTGGTTCTGCAACAACATGGCAGTGAATGCTGGACAATATCCACAAAGATGAAGAAGAGACTTAAAGCAACAGAAATGTGGTTCTACAGAAGGTTGCTGAGAATATCATGGATTGAACATGTGAGAAACAACAAAATTTTAGAGAAAATGGAAACAAAAAGGAAACTTATGCTTAACATCAAGAAGAGACAGTGGGGTTTCTGGGACGCATAATGAGGAAAGAAGGCTTGGAAAATCTGATACTCACAGAACAGATTGAAGGCAAGAGGGACAGAGGAAAACAATGCATAACATGTTTAGTGAGCTAGAGTAAATGGATGGCGAAATAGGGCTTCGGAGAAATAACAAAGACAAAATTTATTAAGAGGTAAAAGGGACATGAAGTTATGGAGAGCCATGATTGCCAATGTCCTGAGGGGATACAACACATAAAGGAGGAGAGGAATTCAGCAATTTTAAAAGACAACACAGATTATAATTGTTTTAACAATAAATATTAATCTTAAAATTTTAATTATTCTATGCTTACAGCTACAATCATCCCACGGTCAATTTTCTACAGCTAGATTCTATGTAAGGTTATGCTTTGTCTAAAATATGTAGTTGTATAACTAAAGAGTGC